ACGCCTGTAAAGGCTGATGACGGGTTCGATGATAGCCCCATGATGGGCGATAATGAGGTTTCCTAATAACGATCTCTTGAATTTGACTCGACTGTATTCAGAAGTAGATTGATGCTGAATTGTGGTTGATTCGCGAGGTATGGACCGTGTTGTGCGGGTTAATCGATCGATCGTTCGGTGGTTAATCAAGGCACGACGGATCTTGGCGGACGGCGTCACCGCCGCAAATGGTACATGTAAGAATCAATCGCGCAGCGAGATAAGGGCAGATAGAAGAAGGTGTTTATGAGGGAATCGCTGGACAATAGTTGAAAAAATGGTAGAAGAGAAAGAAACGCCGAATGAAGGTGGAGCAAAAACCTGTGATAGAAACGAGCAGGTTCAAGACCAAAAGTTTTGGTGGTGATGAAAGAGGAGGAGGAATGACGAAGACAGGGAAGGGAGAGAGACAAGTGAGAGCGTAAGAGAGGCGAAGCGTTTTAGGTGGTTGGTGGGATCAAATGTGGAGGAGATAGAGCCAAGGATTCGGCCCACGCGATATCGCCACGCAAAGTATCTTTGACGGGAGTAAAAGTAAATAAGTAAATAGAAGTACAAGTATTTCGTGTTTAGAGTTGCTAAGGACTTAAAGGTACAGGTATGTTCTGTATTCATTTGCATCTTTCATGGTCGCGTCATGACTCCCAATAGAATGTAACATGAACTGATCCATGTCAGTGAATGCTCCCAGCGACGAGACCTTGTAACTTCCAGTAGCGGGGGGGACTTCTGCCTTCCAACGCTGATGGACTGGAGGGGCGAGGCAAAGTCAGCCCGCGCTCGCTCCCGCCGGTTCCGTCCAAGGCGGGACACGATAGTGTACTTTGTTGGTGTTAGCGTAGGCCACTTTGTTAGGCTGCATGTCACTATCGTCTCCATGTGGGGCAACATGTCTTCAAGGCTGATCCAGGCCCTGATCCAGTCATCAAGTCGATCATGTATGGAATGTATGTATTCTTCAGGAACAGGAACAGGAACCGAATTCGGGACCTTTGTTCCATGTCAGTCACAGAATCTGCCGCATATAAGAAATCCTTTCCTTAGAAAACTAAAATACATACCTCTTTTGTTTCGGCCCGGTGGCTACTCGCTACAGCCAAGACTACCCCCGGGTTTCACATCTTCCATGGATCAGGCGCCTAGCAGCATTGAATGGATCTACGATCCTGCCTGTTGCGCTATTTTGAGCTGTCGCGATACGCCTCACGTCTGGATCAGCTTGGGCTGTAGCTGGATCGCTGACCAACAATATTCCTTGTAAGCTCTAGAATTGACAATGTTTTGATGTTGATACTGGGGTTCTGAAACAACCACTCCGCTCACGAACTTATTAAATACTAGGACAACGACTTGTTCCTCACTCTTATTTGACAGAAGAAGTAATCTGTCGTGTGGGTGGGCAAACAAGTTTATCCTAAAAAGTATAGTTACGCTGTCCAACTCACAAAAACTCAAGTTACTGATGCAAAACTGAGACTCGCTTATGTTTGCTTAAAATGCGACTCGAAACCATCGTGCACATACATTCATAATAATTAATCAAGCAAACATGTAAAGTTACCGTATCGTGATTTATTTATAGTCTACTAATCAGAGCAGCATGTCCATTCGTGTCCGTGATAATCCGTTACCGTGCCTATTTACATACATTACACATACTACATGAACCAAACCTATCCCAAATCCCAAAAGCAAAAAAGTCGCAATTTACCCCATGAAACTCAATAAACGATTTTCGTCAGCCCATGAACCAAGATCATTCATCGTCTACTCCTCCTCAATCGTTCGTCCGCGGCGGGCCTCCCGCTGCGCTCTGCGTGCCCTTCTTTCCTCCCTCGCACGCTCCCTCTCCATCTCCCTCAACTCAGGCATCGGGTGGTGATAACTCTTGGTTCCCAGGTCGCCGCTATCATCCGTGGTACGGGTCAACTGCGATCCGCTGAGAAGGCTCTCGCTCACCTGCGAGTCGGCCTGGGTATCGGCGCGGGAGTAGCTTTCGGCACGTTGGTAGCTGAAGTCGCGGCGCGCATTGCGGCCAGCTTCACGTAGACGACGAGCCTCGGCACGCATGCGCTCTGCCTCACGGTTCTCGCGACGATCAGCAGTAGAGTAAACCTTGCGGATGCCGCCCTTGGCCTTGGTAGGTGTAGTCGTGGGTGTGGTCTGACGATCGGAGAGGAGGTTGGTTGAAACGTTGGATTCGGTGCCGTTGTTGGTAGAGCCGTCCCACTCGGAGCCTTCACTTTCCTTGTTCAGGCCGCCGACACGGGCAGCCCTTTCATGACGGTAGTTGCGGAGTTCCTTCTTGGCAGCACGTTCGGCATCTTCATCCTCGACACCCTCGTCGCCGACGTGACGGCTAGTCTTTTTGCCCTTCTTCGCACGCTCACGATCTCGCTTTTCTTGCTTACGGCGACGCTTCTCGCGAGCATAGATGTCGCTAGCTCCAGCTGTGATACCAGTAAGTGTTGTGCTCTCTGTGACAACGGTTGTGTTATCATCGTCAACGTCCTTGTATACGCTGCCACCGCCGAGGTTTGTGGGTCGAGTTGCGTTGGAAAGAATAGTGCCGTTAGGTCCGGTGCGTCGAAGTACAGTAGATTTGTAGTCATCCCAATCGTTCTCCTTGAATTGGAAACCACCGTTCTTGGCCCAGAAGAAAAACCAGATACCGGTGCAAACAAAGACGACACCAATCAGAGCGAAGAGGAAGAAGAAACCAGCATTGTTGATATCATGAGGGTCGAAAGAGCCTGAGTCAGGCACGACAGATGGCTTGTGTCTATTGTTGCTGTCTTTATCATCTTTATCGTCTCGAGCGACGAGTACTTTGGAAGCCTTGAGCAGATGCCCTGAGAGTGTAGAGAAAGCCTCGGCAGCCTTGGGGGCGTGTTGTGTGAGCGAAGGCGCACTGCGCAATGTGCGGATGAGGGCGGGAGCCATGATGGAATGAAGTTGTAATGAGCAGGTCTCAGTCACAGGAATATGATAAAGCTAGGCTTCGGGTGCTGTAGCCCAGCCGAGCTTGACGGTGGACAGGACCAAGCGGTCAAGACGAATTGCACAAAACAAAGATTGAATAAATTCGGTATATCGTAGGTCGTTAGAATGAGTCAAGTCGAGTGGTGATGAGTATGAGAAAAGTATTTGGTTGAGATAAAGAGCGGTAAAACGATGAGGAAGAGCGGACTTGCGTGGCTTTGCCAAGGTGATGGTGCTTGGTTAACCGAGAAACGAGGCAGGGAAAATACGTGGCTGGGACGTGTAAAAGGTGGTTGGGCACTTAAACGTGCGCGTTAGAATCCTTACAACGGTCCATAAAGCACGTCAATTTGAAGGCTGTTGAATCAAAAATAATAAATTAGTGACATCAGAAGTGTTTTTAGTCTCTTCTATCGTAGATCTAGTCGTTTTGCCTGTCGACTCCCTCAACTCATGTCCATCGTCGTGAGATTCAGCCACAATCTTCAAATGACGTTGAAAGTAAATAATTCCACCGCTGACCGGGCAACGCTCGCACAGAGTGCCAATTTAGTCAATATCCAATCACAGCTGTCCACGACTTGATGCTCCAGATCTCAATGCACACGCCCCCATCCAAGGTTTCGTTTCTGGCCGCTTGGGAATGGGAACTGACGAGCTCTATTTTAGCCCGCATAAGTCGGGCGGATGGGAAAGAAGCTTCTAGGGGAGTAGCATTGATCCAATGCCCGGCACCCAAAGTTCCTAACGCGCGCATAATTCATCGTGATGCTTTGAGTTGGGCTTGCTACAAAACTCGAGACCCGAGCATCGTATCTGATTCAACCCCTGAGATAGCTTACGGCCGCATGAATTAATGTCAGAAGCGCTTAATTGGAATTGTTAGTTGTTGAACCCAAACATTCAGCTACAGGTTCAGGAGATCGACAGTCTTTCACGCATAAAGTCAGATACCTGAGACGAGTGGTTCTTATGCTGTGGTTCAATATCCACCATCCTCCTTCCCCAACCAACACCAAATCCGCGTTTCAATTCAATCCCTAATCTCCATTGAAGCCACTATTTCACCCCAGATCGGCAGAATCTGTCACAGTTCACTTGTAAAGTCTCAGGCAAGAAGATTGAAGAATCCAAACATGCATGTCATGCTGGTTGTAACATAAGATTATTCTCTGTCGGGCAACAGATAGAGGCGCGAACCTCATTTGCCCGTACAATCTATCGTTTTGATAACAAAGCTTGCATAATCCTTCCAGCCATGTCTCGGTTTCCTCCTCTTACGACATGCTCAATAATGCAATACAAAAAGCCACATCCGTAACCGTTTCTCACGCAGCTCCCCCCAAGGGTGCATACAAATCCAGTCATAGCGAAAAAGGAACATGTAGACCAACATGATAAAGTTGTAGTCCCAATCCTGCCAATGTAGTCTTATGGGCCAAGGTCGTCACCGTGCTGAGTAGCTTTCAACCATGCGTCAGATTGAGACAACTTAGTCGATAGCCGCCCAGAGTTGAAACCCTATGTCCCTAAAACACAATTGGCGTCTTTTCATTGCTCCAACTAAATCCAACACAAGCCCCATGAGGGTGTACATGAATTCCGGATCAAAGAGTTGTTTTGCGTAAGCGCCCATGACCTGAGCGGTTGGCGATGAAGCACCGAATCGCTAAGGGGACTGGATCCTCCCACCATCAACACTTTTGGGGTATCAAGTTTCTGCGATGAAGCCAACAGGCGTGCTTAACCCAAGAATAGAAGCATAAGAATACAAATTCAGTGAGGTACAGAACGTCCACCGAAATGCTCAATCAAAAGCTAAGATCCAAGATTAAACGTAAAACGCTGCCCATCCTGTAGACATCTGGATGCAGATAATGTGAAGAAATAGATATAAGTAAAAAAGAAAATAACAAAAAAAATGCAAAAAATAACGCGCTGATCATCAACTTTGTCATCTCTCATAAGAAGAAGAATCATCAATAAATATAGTCATCCATGGTGAGCGACGGATCATACGGGGCATGATTTCCAGAATAGCCCCGGTGATGCGAGTCAGAACGACTAGGAGTGTGCGGTCGATAAGGCAGAGCTTTTCGTTCAACTCGACTTTGGACGTCCTCAAGCTGGTAATAACTGCTTGCACGGTCGCTACCAAGACGAGAGCCAGCAGTTGGTCTGGAAAAGGTAATCTCACCTCCATCGCCACATTCGATCTCAGCACCCGATACACGCACGACGGCCGAGCCTGATACTTTAATGGTGACATTGTCGGTATCGCTAGAAGAAGATCGGGTGAGGCCAGTGGTGTTGCTTCGCTTGTACTCGCTGTCATCATGGCTGCCGCTGCTGCGACTGCTTCCGCCGCCAAGCCGAGGGTTGCTGGCTTTGCGAAGGGCGGCGGCAGTTAAAGGCATGGCAGGGCCGCCATTGATGTCGTCCTGATATTTCATAGCGTCCAAATATTTGTCCTCATCCAGACTGGCACCGCCACTGTCGTACTGGTCATAATCGTAGAATGAATCTCGCCTAGTATTGCGGGCAGGGATGATATCAATCCCGCCACGCTCGTATGCAACAGATCCACGACGAGTGCTGCGGGCAGGAATAATATCAGCGCCATAACCTTCATATGCAACCGAGCTTCTTCGAGGGCGAGACGTTAAGGCTGTACGACGGTCGAAGTTGGCCTCAGGAGAATCGGCAAAAAGACCAGGGCTTTCCGTGAAGTCCTCGTCATCATAGCCTTGTTGATCTGCAAACCCGACACGGCTACGGCTGGATGGTGGAGGGCGTGAAGGAGTTCTCGTCTTCTGACGAGTCAATGTTTGAGGTGGAGCACGGAATGGAGTGGTTTGAGAAGGCATAGCAGACTTGGGTCTTGGGATACTATCAGGAGGAGGCATTCGTCGGCGATCATCCTCAATCTGCTGTGGTGGCGGCTTCCTGCTAGAGCGGGAGGCACGCCTTAACGGACGAGGAGGCTCAGGCTGTTGTTCCTCTACCTCGTACTCATCCTGAGGGTACCCAATATTGGAAGGAGAAGGTTGGTCCTGTCGGAATCCCATGGATGACGCAGGTCGCTCGAAACGATTCCTGAGATGAGCGCTTGCTTGCGATGAGGGCATGTCAAAGAAGCCGGGTGGCCCTCCACCGACAGGTGAAGGTGATGGCGGAATGCCCGATACAGACGGAGACGACGCTCCAGGGAAATAGGGTGATGGTCCTGGGAATGATCCAACGGGGAAAGAAGGCTGAGAGTGCTGGTGATGATGCCAACCAGCATTGGAAATCGGAGGAGCTGGCTGTCCAGGGTAATAGCTGTGAGGTCGAGTTTGAGCACGAGGGCGCATGCCCGAAACGGCAGGCTGTTGAACACCATAGCAGGAAGGGTCCTCAACGCGGCCACGACGATATTGTTGAATAACAGGCTCAGTCCTGGTGTGACTCAAAGATGTAGGGCGAGGCCTCCTCGCGGGCTTACCCTCACGCTCTCTGGGTGCTTGCTGTGCTTGTGCTTGAGCTTGAGCTTGTGCTTGCTGCTTAGCTTCAGCCCTGACTTTTCGCTGTTGCAACTCGGCAGCTTCTTTTTGTTTTCTTTCCTTGCGACGTCGATCTTTGTCTCGTTGTTCACGTTGCTGTTCACGCTCCCGCTCCCGTTCATGGTCTCGGCGGGAACGTTCCTCCCTACGAGGGGGAGGACGAGGTTCCTCGTCTGAATAGTCATCGCTGGGAGGGGTTACCTGCCTCCGGCTTGTGTGTCGTCTGTGTTCGCCGCGGGATTTTCCAGTATTAGGACGTTCTTTGGGGGGAGGGCTCGCGGGACCTGGAGCTTCAGAGACGGCATAGCGGCGTGTATCACGGATGCCCTCGAGGACAGAGGTCTCTGAGTCCTCCTCGGCATCCTCAACGTAGCAAACGTTTTTAGACATTGTGTATGAAAAAGGACCAAGTGGTTTAATCTGAGTGAGTTGGCTTCAGAGAAGCGTTGGTTGGAGGAGGGGTTCGACGGGATCGAACAGGGACCACACTAGGTGGGACGGCAGAGTAGGTACTAATGTATATAGAGTCGCAATGGCAGGCGGTGAGTAGGCCGGCAATGATGGTGACGGTCTTTGCAATCGCGAACGCAATGCTTTAACGTCCCCTTTCGTGAAACCAGACAAGCGACATGTGAAGGAACTCGAAGTCGTTGATCAAGACAGTTGGAGCTGGAAAAAAGTCGAGAATGAAATGTCGCTGGTGAATTGGATTGGGTGTTGAAGGCGGTGACGATAGTGGCATAAGACCAGGGCGGGCTTTTTTCGATGGAGACGCTAGTAACGATTTTTGTTTATAACCGAAGGTATAAAAAATCGATCGAGATGAATATGATACTCGAGTTGAAGCGAGGAAGCGAAGAAATAAGTATGTAGATCAGATATTTTTAAGAAAAGACAAGTTATCAAACTGTCATGGGTAGAAGACAAGACATGGAAGACAAGAAGGAGGGGAGGAGGGGAAAGAAGCGATGGGCATGGATGGACGGGATGGTCTGTTTTTAATAAAAGTTGAAGTGCAGTAAGTGCAGGTGAGGTAGGTAATTTTCAGGGCCTGGGGGGCGTCGAGTTAGTGGAAGCCCGTAGGTCGGATCGATGTGTGGGGGTGTGCGCTCAGACTGTTACCGGTAGGTAGTTTTAGTGGAAGAAGCACTACACTATTACTATTACCGCCGGGCCCCAGGGCGGACCTGCCTACGGACACGCAGCCACTGGCCGTTGTGGCCATAGACGTTGATTAATGGCCCAGCAATAGGGAAGCCACTTTATTCAAGCCCAACGATTGACGGTCGGGTCTTTTTCTTTCCAAGCTAGCAGCATCATCACAACAAATCGACATTCTGATTATCAAGAGTCAAAGGAAAACGAGTGTCAATAATGGAAGGAGATGAGATGGAAAAGAGTGTGTGGACGGGTGTGCGAGGTGCAAAGTGCAACCAGCAGCAATGAAGCACAGCAACAGCAACAGCACAGCACAGAGAATTGGAAGCAAGGGGGTCGTCTCTTCTATTGATTAGTCCAAAGGGCGTGTCCTTAACATACCACGGGACGATCAATCAAGCGACTCGACGCTGGAGCCAGCACAGCAATGGAACTGCAGACTCACACTCACACTGCAGTTCAAGTCAAATCAAAGCAAGTCAACCACGTCAAGTCGATGCAGGAGAGCAATGACGAAGACACTGACTGACACGAAAACAGAACGACACGCAGAAAGAGATTGGCTGCCGTTTATTTTTACTCGCTCCTTTATTACCCGCAAAACTTGATTCATCAGACAGAACGACACCACCCGTCCTTGAGGGCTTATTCTCGTTCATCCAGCAACCAAAAACTACCAGAGACACTACTGTACTCTCAACCGCCACAAACATTCTGAGCCATGACTTTTAGATATTGCTATCACATTCGTCAGCAAGCTCACTCATCGGTCTCTACTCACAAAGGTACAATGGTTCCGATGTGGCAAGGGAGCCTGAGTCTTTGAGAATTAAAAACCGCTACGTCGTCACGGCCCGCCTCACTTCATGCTGTGTTGGCATAGACTACCTATCTATCTACCCAGGTATTTTTATGCCGAATTTAGTATACTCGACTCCATCATAGATGCCCCTGGTTTGAATTCCTCCCTCGCTCGACTTTCCCATCTTCCATTCTTCCTCAAACTTTGATTCCTCATAAAAATGCCATTGAAAATTAAGCATCCTCGTATGGTAAACAGGTGGGGGTAGCTAGCTATGCTGAAACCAGGGTCTGTCTGGTCTGCACTCTTGCTGCGCTGGTCAAGTATCGTGGAATGTAATGGATCCAAGGCCACAAATAAGCAGCGACCTGGGCGATGGAGATTTTCACTAAGCTTTGATTGACCCTCAACTTGATGCTGGGGTATGCCTGTCTCGACTCGAAGGGTAGAATGATTGTCAGTCGATTGTATGAGGCTCTGAGATAAAATCTCTGCTCTCTAGTAGTAGTTGTGTTATATCATGATGAATATAGAGACTATCATCCCGTCGTCTAGTCCTCAAGCATTAAATTATCTCTCACCCTGATCATAACGACCCAACCCCCCGTGTACGGACGAAGGACCCTGGCAAATTCATGGCATTATCATGTGAGTTGTTGCAGTTGATGAAACACTTTGGAATAGCCAAAACACCAACAAGCCGTCACCAAACCATGCTCAAACCAAGTGAGGCGGCGGTTAATAAGCTAGCTCTGCTGGTGACGATGCAAACCACCAGCCTTCTGCTGTGCTCTGACCCGACCCGACACGACCCTCTCTGCTCTTCCTGCGCCGCCGAGAATGGATCTGATCTGTCGAAGCGACCCCAGATAGTGCCCTGGAAGCCCACACAGAAGCGAGAGACCCAACTTGCAAGCGGGTCAGGGTGGTTATCTGACAGGGAATACCTTTCCATGACTGGTGCCAGTTGCAAGCAGGCAAGCCCAACTGTGGAGTTTTTCGAGAGCGTTTTATCCAACGATTCCTTTGGAAGCTTTCTCTGTCTTCCAGTCACGACATTTGCCTTGTCTAAAAAGTCTGCACATTTGAATTGAGGCTGATGTTGACACGCCCCCCCCCTCTTCCGACAGTGGCTCACTCTAAAGAAGAGGGAATTGATATAAATCAAGACATGCTTGAGACGTTGATGTTCGTTTATCGATCGCCTGCACTGAAGTGAGAAACGGTCGCCTACATATTCCTGTCACTTCGAGTCTTGAGGAACTCGGAAAGAAGCGCAAACAGGACAAGGATTATTCGCCGTTAGCCGGGTGGCTCCCCACGAGTGTGTGACAGATAAATGATATATACAAGCCCGAATCATCAACTGCTCTCGCCCTTTCTGGACAGAGCAGATGGATCGGGTTCTGCCATCACATGGCACAAATGCTTAACAGAGTAGGACAGGGGACGGGTACACAAGACAAGGACCAGCCAATGCGGGTGATGGGCTCGCCAAAACGGTTATTACTGTAGAAACATGGCGAATGCTAAATTGGGTATGCATAGAGATGCCCGATGTGCAAATGGCTGGACTCTGGCGCTCAACGTTGGATATCCATCCGTCTTTCTCCATTGATCTACACCTCCACCAAGTGCCGAGCTTAGCTTTGTCCTTGTCCTTGTCCACAAGGCCTCTCTTCCAACCTTTTGGCTTTGTGCCTAACTGGCGCGAGAACCTTTCGCCCAAAGGCTGCCTCTGGTTCCCCCTCTCTTGGTTCGGGTACCAACAGATGAACCCGATCGACAGCAATTGGAAGCCGAAAACGTGAGTGCAGCGCGGGGTACACGTGGAAATGTCGACGCACCCGCCGGTGATTAATTGATTAGTGGTAAACCTGGTAGTGACAGAGTGACAGGTTGTCCCGCCATCCTTGTCCTCGTCTACGACTGGCTACTGCGATTGAGTTGAGGCTCCGGGCTTGATTTGGAAGCATGTTTTGAGGTTATCACTCACAACGAGCGTTGACTCATACCTACTGTAGCATGAGAGACAATGTGTTTTTCATTTCGCTATGATAGTTCTGCTTCCTGCTATTTCCTCCTCAAACAAACCAAAAACGAGCTTAGAATCGTGTCACTTGATTTCAAGCGCTTGCGGCGTTATCGTTTCTAGTCTATTCGACGACTCCAGAGAGGTAGTGGCTTCAAGCTCACTCGTCCATCCCAGTCGCTTTGCCGCAATGACCATGCTTGATGCTTGCACAGGCCAGGCCTGGATGCCCAACGCACATCTCACTGACTACCATGTAAAGTCCATCGACAGTAAAAGGTGGCTCGGGCGGTTAATCCCGTTGTCGGCGATACTATAACCCTGCCCAGTTCTGACGACCCGGGTCCAGCTCCGTCCCAGCCTCACGTCGCACCATTCGTCACGTCGAATACGTGTCCATCGTTCCGGGCTGAGACCTCCGAATCCCGGAATCCATGACCCACTCTCGCCGGCTTGACATCCTTGTCCTTCCGTGCCCAGTCCGGAGATGGCCTCCTCTCTCCTCCGTCCTACCACCGATGAATAACAAGTACAGCGCAGTAACGTTATTTGTTCCCTAGCGTTTCATGTTTTAGCTTGGGCTCAAGTCGGCCAATTCCGATTGCAACTTACATTGACATGTCAGTCATCATCGTCTGTTCTTCTTTGTATCGGACTTTAGACGTTCGTGATTACGAAGCAAGTCAGCGTCACATTAGTAGTTAGGTCAACGGTATCGGTGTCATTTTTATCAGCTGACTTTGGTGACTCTTCTTCGAGCAAAAAACACGCTACTACATATTCTTATCTGCTGTTTCACTCCACCCCCATCATTCTGCACCCTTTCTGTAGACCCTCCAGCTTCGATGTGTTGCCTTGTTGCACTTTTACCCAACAACTTTGCCTTCCCATTGTCTCAATCTTTAGACAAGAGATTCAATTTTCGGTCTAGTCATGGTCCTTGATTGGCGTCTATTCTACTTGTGATGACATGTTTGTCAGTCGTTGTGCTTCAGGAACTCTTTGGAACCATCACGACGTACTGCTGTGCTGCCCTCGCTCTCTATTGACATATCCAAAACTTACTGAATAGTCGTAAGGTGCTTTAAATACAATACTATCTTGACTAGACCTGACGGGGATATAACTCAGCCGGGGTCTTGCGGATGGCTTGCCTTGGTCTCTCCAGATTGTGCGGGGATAGGCTAGAGGTGCATCCAAGGCATTGACGCATCTCCAGCGCCGTCAGCCGGCATGAGTGCCACACGATTCCTGACCATTGACTGAGATTATGTTTTAAACATTTGTGGCAACTGCCATATCTGTGTTCGTGAGTGTGGCTCTGACTTACCAATCCACCCAATTCTGTCAAAGACGGCCGAGACATCATCTGTAACAGAAACATCATGAATCTTGACG